CATAGAATTCTTTTCTGGCAAATTGGAATCATAGAAATTGTTAAAGATGCAAAGAATGATTTAATTCCATAAGGTTTCAGAATACTATCGCGACTTCACAACGTCATTTCATAGTTATAGCAGAATTATAAAATGTTAATTAGTTATAACTACTTAATTCTTTAATGCTTTTCGTTTATGCTTTACTACTTCAAAGATTACATTATCCAACTATTCACTTAGCTAGATATTGCTTCTAGATTCTCGTATTTTAAAAAAATGTTGCATATAAGAATACAAAAAATAAATATGCTTACATATTAATAAGAGTTTCATAATTGTAGTTTTAAATAATCGTGCTAATCTGTGACCTGGCCTGCTTCAGAGCGCTCTAATCAATTAGCCTTAAGCTGACGTATAGGCTGTTCCTCATGTCTCGCTTCTGTATATTCTCCTGCATGCTTCTATTTTCTTATCTTCCCCTTTATCTTTCAAAACCAGTTACAGAAGAAAACTGTGAAGGTTTCTATTGACTTATTTATTTCTGTTTCATAAGTATGCGTAAAATTTATCAGAAAATTGATTGCTGATATGAGCTCTGAAGAGTTGTCTAAAATGGAAAAAGTTGATGCCAAATTCAAGGATATGTGTAGATCATCAAAAGGAAAAGATAATACACTGGTAACGTCTTCGTTTTTATTATGTTTTTAGTGTTATTATGTTGGTGGGCTTGAAACGTCTGCCACTTATATTGTAAATGAGTTAACCAGACCCTTATCGTGGGGCATGCCGGCGGAAAAGGTTTGTGAAAAACTAAGTAAAATGGATTCCCAAATATGTGATCTTAAATATGGTAAACACTTTGATCTAATATTCTTTTAGAAAGAGTTATTGATCTCAAAACATTAAACTTTGCAAAAGCCAAAGTCAAAGAACTCAAAATTATTCTTGAAGGTTGGGGTGAGAGCTGCAAGGGCTGTGTAGAAAAATCAGATTTCATCAGGCTTATCAAAGAACGCATGCCTGCTCATGATCCTGAGGCATACAGGCAACTTTTCGCCACCGAGCTTTAATGTCTTAATTAATTGCAAATCTTAGCAAAGCTTGATTCCATTTTCTACAGGCTAATTATAAAGATTGTACATATTTTTGGACTTAATAATATGCTCTCCAACTTCTGAATTTTCCTTTGTATTTCAATTAAATATCTTCGGGATTTGTCTCATTACATCAATGTTCATTATATATTTGGTTTTGAGTGCTATTTCATCTGACATTTTAATGTGGATGTACCAAATCCAGACTATCTCTTACATATATTATCCAGAATCCCTGAGTAGCTACTAGAATCTGAATATCTTATGTCCAGCC